TCTAGACGCTCTTTTCTGCAAATGCTTTTACCGGAAAACTTTTCCGTTAAAAGTATGTCCGGAAAATCATGCCAGTCTAGACGTAGCCCCCTAGTTTTCCCAGCTGGAGGGGTGTGTAAGAACAATAAGGACCCAGTTGAGTGTAGGATGGTGGGGTGGGGTGGGAGTCCCTAGTGGGTAAGGCCCAAGCCCACCACCAGCTTTCCAGGGGGTTGGGATCAGAGGGAGATAGGCATAATAAGGCAGTTTTTCTGGGAAAACGATACTTACATCCACACTGCTATTGCAGGCTGTGACGTAGTGGGGGGAGCTGTCTGCTCTGTAACCCAGTGTGCTATGGTGGTGCCTTGCTGGTTGCTGGGCTTGGGCACTGGGTGACCTCCATTGGCAGCTGTTGGTAGCACGGCCCAACAGGACAGCGGATGAGTCACTAGGCAAGGGTCTCACAACCTGTCGGACCGGTCGCCTCCTAGGGAGAGAGACAAAGGGAGGAAGGCAGAGACCAACCCCTGTCTGGGGGGCAGGGCTGGAAGAGAGTCAGTTCCTGTCTGGTATCGTGGAGGAAGCAGCCTAAGCAAAGGGCTGGGATTTAGGGGCCCAGTCTCCCCCATCTCAAGGGGGGCTGAAGCATCCTAGGCCTGGCCCTGTAACTAGATTCCATCGGTGCTGTGCTGCATCCTTGGAGAAGCAATAAACGCCCTTAATCCTATTGGCTGGTGGAGTCTGTTCGTGCCACTATGGGGGGTGCAGGAGTTAGGGGAACCCCGACGCGTCGTCACACACGCGTTTGACAGCAAGTCGAAAGAACGGAGGGGCTTTTCAGACGGCGGTACCCCTCATTCTACAAGGAAGACGCCTTTTTCCGAAAAAGTTAGCTCGGAAAAAGGCCTGTGTGGACACGGGCGAGTGTTTTCCTCCAGGAAAAAGCACCGGTGCCCACGCCGTCCACCATAATCACAACTGAAATGCGAGCTAGCGGCCAATCACTAGGGATGTTATCGTGCGAAAAAGCAGGGCGCGTGTTCGATGCACGTTTGCTGTCTGGACGCTGTCCTTCGGAAGCAGGTTTTCCGGACGATCGCTTCCAGAAAAGCGTCTTCCGAAAGAAGCCTGCGATCTAGACGGAGGCCCAGTGGCCTAGTGGGTAAGGCCTTTAAAGCAGCAGTGTCTCAGCAGCTCGTGCTGCCTTACGGGGCGCGCCACTTTCCTTTCCCCGCTGGGTGCAGGTGACGTTGACAAGAGAGCCCAGCTTGCCCTAATTAGGGGGTTTCCAGTTTTGAATTAAGTTTTCATTTCAATTTAAAAAGTTGCCCGGGGTTTGCTCCAGCATCCTTGGTACTGCCAGTTGGCTCCAGCATCCTTGGTGCTGCCAGTTGGCTCCAGCATCCTTGGTGGTGGACCCCTGCGGTAGAGGCTTATGCACTAAATTCCAGGGGCCCCCGCGCCTCGCCCCCGGACTGCCCTGCGGAGGGCAGGGAGTTCTAGGGATGCCTCTCTCTTCACTTTGCAAACGGAGTCTGCTTGTCTGGGCCCCCTCCCTGGGCTCGCTGGGTCCTGTCCCGGGGCGCTGGCATGTTCCCCTGCGCACACCCCATTCGGACCCGAAATCCGATTCCCGCACCGCTGAGCTCCGCTCCCCTCCCATTCGCCATGGCACAGCTGCCGTGCACAGCGCTGGAGCCAGCTGGACTGTTTCAAATTCCGGCAGCTATTTATTTTCATCAGCGTTTCGCGTCAATAAACATGATGAATGAAATGGACCCGGCTACTCCTGGCAGGCGAGAAACCGCCGCAAGCACCAGGCCTGCCTGATTATCCCGCCCCAGCCAGAG